TCCTGAGTAGCTGGGATTACAGGCACGCGCCACCATGCCCAGCTAATTTTTTGTATTTTAGTAGAGACGGGGTTTCACCTTGTTGACCAGGATGGTCTCGATCTCTTGACCTCGTGATCCACCCGCCTCGGCCTCCCAAAGTGCTGGGATTACAGGCTTGAGCCACTGCGCCCGGCCACATTTTTTTACTTTTTCCATTGAATTCTTCAGCTCCAAAATTTCTGAGATTTTTATTAATCTATATCTTTGTTGAATTTGTCATTCAGATTATGAATTGTCTTCCTGATTTTGCTAAATTTCCTGTCATGCTCCTCAAGATAATTTTGAGTTTCTTTTGAGGAAAAATATAAATTTCCTTTTTCTTTGGGGTTCAGGATATAACACTGTAATTGTGGTGACTGAACTACTCTAATCCTAAGTAGAAAGACGAAATGACAAACTAATAAAAAAATATAGCTACAACAACTTTTCAAGATACAGTCAGTACAATAAGATATAACTGGAAACAACATCTTAAAAAGCAAGAAAATGAACTGAAGGCATAGAGTTTTTGCTTTCTTTTTGCTTGTTGTTTATGCAAACAGTGTTAAGTCATTATAAGGTCAAAATAATAGGTTATAAAGTAGTATTTGCAAACCTCATGGTAACCACAAACCAAAAAAAAAAAAAAATTACAATAGAGACACAAAATATGCACAGCAAGGGACTAAATCATATCACCAGAGAAAACCACTTTCATTAAAGGAAGACAAGAAGAAAAGAAAGAAGGAAAAACACACACACAGGACAGCCAGAAAACAAGTAACAAAGTTGCAGGAGTATTCATTGAATTCTTCAGCTCTAGAATTTCTGTTGGGTTCTCTTTTATTATGTCTATACCTTTGTTGAATTTCTCATTCGGATTATGAATTATTTTCCTGATTTTGCTGAATTGTCTGTCATTATGCTCCTCAAGATCATTTTGAATATTTTTTAAGAAAAATGGTGAATGTCCTTTTTTGGAGGGGTCAGTTACTCAAGAATCATTGTGATCCATGGGTGGTGTCATGGTTGCTTGCTTTTTGATGCTTCTTGTGTCGCTGCCTTCATGTCTGCAAATCTTGCGGAATAATCACCTTTTCTAAACTCTAAGAGGCTTCCATAGGATAACACTTTGACGCAGAGATGAGTCATAGTGTGCTGGTTAGGAAGAGTAGGGTGGTTCTGGCTCCAAGTAGATGAAGTGCAGCTTCTTAAGCCGTTGCCGATATTAGCAATCACTGGATGTCTAGGTGGACTAGGCTGAAGAAATTTGTGGTAGAAGTATTACAGATTGTTGGTGTCCGTGATGCCAAAAGCATTTGGAGTCCTACTATTTTTATTTTCCCACAAAGGAAAGTCTCAGTTGAGAACATCCCTCTTGGTGTTGGGTCTGACGTGTCCCACAAACAGCTACAGGGGTAAAGGATTCCAGGGTGTCAGTGATCAGAGCAGCTGTGGTGCAGGACTCTGGGGCTCAGTGTCTCATGAACCTATTGTGCCACCTAGGTTTTGGGGTTCACATTCACTTTCCAAGGCATGGTTACATACAGATTTTCCACAAAGCTTTTAGGCACTCCTTAGCAGCTTAGAACCAGTGGGCCTGGTTTGGCTATGACTCTAACTCCGGAGACAGACAAGAGCACTGCTATAGCTCTGAAGAAGCAGAGGTGCCCTGGGCAACAAGAGCAAAACTCCATCTCAAAAATAAAAAGAAATAAATTGAAGATAACACAGAGAAAGAATTCAGAATTCTGCCAGATACATTTAACAAGGACATTGAAATGATTAAAAAAAAAATCAAGCAAAAATTCTGGAGCAGCGAAAAGCAGCTGGCATACCTGAAGAATGCATCAGCAACTTTTAACAGAATTGATCAAGCAGAAGAATTTGTGAGCTTGAAAATAGGCCACTTGAAAATACAAAGTCAGGCGACAGGGAAAAATCTAAAAAAAAAAAAGCAATGAATCATGCCTACAGGATCTAGAAAATAGCTTTAAAAAGGAAAATCTAAGAATTACTGGCCTTAAAGAGGAGGAAGAGAAAGAGATAGGAGAGGGAAGTTTATTCAAAGGGATAATAACAGAGAACTTCTCAAACCTATAGAAAGATGTCAATATACAAGTACAAGACACTTATAGAACCTCAAGCAGATTCAACCCAAAGAAGACTATTTCAAGACATTTAATAATCAAACACCCAAAAGTCAAGGAATATGGAAAGCATCTTAAAAACAGCAAGAGAAAAGAAGCAAGTAACAGAAAAGAAGCAAGTAACAGAAATGAAACTCCAGTACATCTGGCAACAGACTTCTCAGTGGAAACCTTACAGGACAGGAGAGAGTAGCATGACATATTTAAAATGCTGAAGACCAAAAACTTTTCCTGTAGAATAGAATATCTGGCAAAAATATCCTTCATACAGGGACGAGAAGTAAAGACATTCCTAGACAAACAAAATCGAAACAACTTCATAAAAACCAGACCTCTCATACAAAAAATGCTAAAAGTACTTCAATCAGAAAGAGACAGATGTCAGTGAGCAATAACAAATCATCTGAAGCTACAAAATAAATACACAGAAAAACACAGAATACTATAACACTGTAGCCATAGTGCAAATTACTCTTAAGCAGAAAGACTAAATGATGAACCAATCAAAAATAATAACTGCAACAACTTTTCAAGACATAGAGAGTACAAGAAAATATAAATAGAAACAACAAATAATAAGCAAGGAAACAAAGTTAAGGCACAGAGTCTGTTAGGTTTTTTGATTGTTTCTTTATGGAAGCAGTGTTAAGCTGTTATCAGCTTAATGCATTATAAGATTGTATTTGCAGGTCTCATGGTACACCCAATCCAAAAAACACAGAGAATCACAAAAAATAAAAAGCAGGAAACTAATATATCACAAGAGGAAATCACCTTCATTATTAAAAAAAAAAAAAAAGGAAAGAAAAGAATGCAAAACAACAAGAAAACAAAACACGCAATGGCAGGACTAAGTCCTTACCAATAATAACATTGACTATAAATGAACTAAACTCTGCAGTCAAAAGACACAAAGTGAATGGACTGAATGGCTGAATGGATTAAAAATAATAATAACAAGGCTCAATGACCTGTTGCATACAAGAAACAAACATCACCTATAAAAACACAAATAGACTGAAAATAGATGGAAAAAAAGGCATTTCGTGCCAATAAAAACTAAAATAGAGCAGAAGTCACCATACTTTACATGGCAAAGTAGATTTCAAGATTAAAAAAACAAGAGACCAAAAGGTCACTATAGAATAACAAAGTTTCCGGCTGGGCCCAGTGGCTCACGCCTATAATCCTAGCACTTTGGGAGGCCAAGGTGGGTGGATCACCTGAGGTCAGGAGTTCAAGACCAGCCTGGCCATCATGGTGGAACCCCATCTTTAAAACAAAACAAAACAAACAAACAAACAAAAAACAAAGGTTTCAATTCAGCAAGAGGATATTACAATTGTAAATATATATGTTCCCAAACCTGGAGCATCCAGATGTATAAATATTATTAGAACTAAAGAAAAAGACAGGTGCCAATACAGTAATAGCAAGAGAGATCAACACCCAACTTTTAGCATTGGACAGATGTTCCAGAGAGAAAATCAACAATGTAACATTAGTCTTAGTCTTCACTACAGACCAAATGGACCTAATCGATATTTAGAAAACATTTTCTCCAACAGCTGCAGAATACACATTCTTTTCTATAGCACATGGATTATTCTCAAGGATAGACCATATGGTAGGTCACAAAACACATTCAATAAAATTGAAATAATATCCAGCATCTTCACTGACCATAGCCTGAAATTAGTAACAAGAGGACGGTTGGAAACTGTACAAATACATGCAAATTTAACAGTGTATTCCAGAATAACAAGTGGGCCAACAAAAAAAATTAAGAAAAAAGTTGAAAAGTTTCTTGTAACAATTGACATTGGAAATACGACATACCAAAACCTACGGGATACGGCAAACACACTTCTAAGAGGGCAAAAGTTCATAGCTATAAGCTCCTACCTCAAAAAGGAAAAACTTCAAATAACCTAATAATGCGCCCTAAAGAGCTTGAAAAGCGCAACGAACGAACCCAAAATTCGTAGGAAAAAATCGTAGACAAAAAAATGTTTACCACCAAGCATCTCCTCAGGCTGATGCTGTGCCAAACATGGGATTACAGAGATTACAGCTTCCATCCCAAAAAGCTCTCATTCCATGCTCTCAGGGCAATCTCAGTAACCCAATTGCAACTATCCATCCAGACCATGGAAGTACCTTTACCCCTTAAATAGGAAGGAGTGCCAGGAAAAAGACCTCACTAAGCTGATTTGCATTTTCCAAAAGCAAATAAATAAATAAATAAATAAATAACTGTTTAACCTGCACAGCCAAATATCAAATACAAAAAAGAGAAGACAACAAAGATCGGAGTAGAAGTATATGAAATTGTTAGGAAAAATATGCAAAAGATAATAAAAGGCTAGTTTTTGGAAAAGTTAAAATTCACAAACCTTTAGCCAGAGTAAGAAAAAAAACCAGACAAGATACGTATAAATGAATCAAAGATGACACGGGAGACATCACACTGATACTGCAGAAATTCAAAGGATCATCAGTGGCTACTATGAACAACTATATGCCAGTAAAGTAGGAAACCTAGAAGAAATGGACAAATTCCTAGACATGTATGACCTGCCAAGATTCAATCATCGAGAAATAGAAAGAAGTCTGAATAGACCAATGACAAGTAACAAGACTGAAGCCGTAATAAAAAGTCTACCAGTAAGCCCATGACCTGATGGCTTCACTGCTGAATTCTACCAAACATTTAAAGAACCAATAACAATCCTACTGAAACTATTCAGAACAAAGAAGGTGAGAATACTTCCAAAGTGATTCTACAATGCCAGTATTACCCTGATACCAAAACCAGACCAAGACAAACCAAGAAAATAAAACGACAAGCCAATGACTGATGAGTATGGGCAAATATGCTCAACAAAATACCAGCAAACTGAATTCAACAATACATTTAAAAAGATCATTCATCATGACCAAGTGGGATTTATCCCTGGGATGCAAGGATAATTTAACATACACAGATTAATCAATGTGATAATCTTATCAGCAGGATGACAGACAAAAACCATATGATCATTTCAACTGATGCCAAAAAAGCATTTGATAAAAATCAACATGCCTTCATGAAAAACAACTGAGTGTGGCTGGCATGGTGACTCATGCCTGTAATCCCAGAACATTGGGAGGCCAAGGTGGGTGGATCACTAAAGGTGGTGAGTTCGAAACCAGCCTGGCCAACATGGTGAAATCCTATCTGTACTAAAAATACAAAAATTAGCTTGATGTGCCCGCTTGAACCCAGGAGGCAGAGGTTGCAGTGAGCCAAGATCGTACCACTGCACTCTAGCCTGGGTGACAGAGCGAGATTCTGTCTCAAAAATTGAGTGTAGAAAGAACATATCTCAACATCATAAAAGCCAAATATAATAGACCCATAACTAGTATCATACTGAATAAAGAAAAACTGAAAATTTAGATCTTCCTCTAAGATCTTGAACATGGCAAACCATTCACCACTGTTATCCAACATAGTTCTGAAAGTTCTAGCTAGAGCAATGAGACACGAGAAAGAAAGGGCATCACATTGATAAGGAAGGAGTCAAATTATCCTTGTTTGCAGACAATATGTTTGTTTCTTTGTTTTGTAATGGAGTCTTGCTTTGTTACCCAGGCTAGAGTGCAGTGATGCAATCTCAGCTCGCTGCAACCCTGCCTTCTGGGTTCAAGCGATTCTCCTGCCTCAGCCTCCCAAGTAGCTGGGATTACAGACGCGTGCCACCACGCCCAGCAAATTTTTGGTACAGATGGGGTTTCACCATGTTGGCCAGGATGGTCTCAAACTGCTGACCTTGTGATCTGCCCACCTCGGCCTCCAAAGTGCTGGAATTACAGATGTCAGCCACCACACCCTGCCAATATGATCTTATTTTTAATGGCATTAATTTAAATACAATTTTCCCTTCATAATGTTGTCTAAGTCATCTAAATAAATACCCAGTTGTTTAAAAATAATAATAAACAGATACCTTTTTTCTTTACTGTAACCTTTGCTGTTCATTCTTGTTGGGTGGCTTTCCTCCCACACACCTGATCTTGCAAAAAGAATTTCTCCCAAGGCTGTCCCTGGCTGGCATCAGACCTCATGATGGGGGATTGTTGCAGCTGTTCCTGTCTCACTCTCCCAAAAGTTGCATCAGCTCAGGTTTGTACCCAGGAGGGACAGGACTAATCCCAGCCTCACACTCGTGTGGGCAGATGCTTCTGTCTGACCACAGCAGACTGAATCTGTTAAACAACAGGAGAGGGGCCCAGTGCTGATCATGGACTTCACTCAGCGTGCAGAGATATCCCAGTTCCTGTCCACAAACATGAGCAAGGGGGAGCCACAGCTTTTCCTCTTCATCTGAAGCCCCTACCCCCTCCCTGACTGTGAGGACCTGGGGTTCCTCTTCTGTCCCACACAGAAGTGGAAATCTCCTTCCTGATGACCCAACGATGGTCCTAGGTACATGCGGCCCTTCAGCTTTCAACCCTGTTCTTTGATGTACAACCTTCTCAAACTAAAAAGCTTTTCATTTCTTTTCTGCACAAAACTTTCATAATCTATATAATTCAGATATGTATATATATATATATATGTTTTGAGACAGGTCTTACTCGCTCGCCCAGGCTAGAGTGCAGTGCTATGGTCATGCCTCACTGCAGCCTGGACCACCCAGGCTCAAGCAATCCCCCCACCTCAGTCTCCCAAATAGTTGGGACTGCAGTCATGCACAACCACACCTGATTATTTCTTTTTTATTATATGCAGAGATGAGGTCTCACTCTGTTCCCCAGCCTGGTCTTGAACTTCTGAACTCAAGGGATCCTCCATCCTCAGGTGCTCAGATTACAGGGATGGGCCACCATGCCTGCAACTTTAAACATAAGGAGCATTTCTTGGTATTTGGAGCTGATGTGGGCTCTTGAGTGGGTGCATCAATCATCCTTTTCAACTACAGAGCTCAATGCCAGGATCCTCTCACGCCCAACTACTCCTGTCTAAATATGATCTGGAAACTCACCATGGCTGAGCCCCTTCCATGTCTCAGACACCACTAACCCCCGCATCCACTCTGAGAAGTAGAGGTCATGACCACAGTCTCCAAAAGATAAAGACCGAAGGAAGCCACTGATTAAGTGGAGGAGAATTGGGAATTAAATTCAGCTCCCCATGCCACCCTCTGAATAAGATGACAAACTTGAGTAATTGTTCTGAAAACCTTGAACATGGTTTGAGGTGCAGAGGGATGGCCAAGGACACGGGCACTGAGGACGCAGGAACGACTCAGAGGTTCATTCCCAGAGGAGGGGGTTTTGCTGCTTTGCCCTAATGCACACAACCTTGGTGAGCTGAGTATAGGTCAGGCAGGCAGTGGCCAGGCCTTAGGGAGACCCCATTTCTGTCTGAAATGTCTGCAGAGAGCCTGGAGCTCACCCCAGCCCCATCCCTGGGGAAATGAGAGTCCTGGGGAGGGCAGTTCCTCATCCTGTGGGGCTGCAGATGGGACAGTCTTGTGACAGGGAGAACACAGCCTCCAGTCCACACTCTGCATGCTCCTGTGTCCTGCCAGGCACTGTGGTCTCATCTGCCATGAGCCTCACCCTCTCAGTCATGATTTGCCTCGGTGAGGTTTGAAGAGGGGAAGGAAGACCCTAGTCTTGGAGGGTACTCACTCTAAAGCAAAGCTCTGGTCTATCAGAGAGTCTGCTCTATCAGAGGCTCCTAGAGAGGAGAGGAACTGCTGGGGCTTCGGGGAAAAATCTCTCACAGGGAACTCTCTTCCAGGGCTGAGCCTGGGCCCCAGGACCAGCGTGCAGTCAGGTGAGTCTGTCCCCAGCTGTCCCAGGTCCCTGCTTCTCTGGGGACAAGGGCCCAACCCCCAGACAACTGGAGGTGGAGACACCAGTTCTGGGCTGACTGATGGGGATGTCTGGAGGGTCCTGGGGCTGGTAGAGCTGGGATCTGAGGGATGAGGACATCTTGGCATCAGTCTCTGATTCCATTCCAGGCACCATCCCCAAACCCACCCTCTGGGCTGAGCCAGGCTCTGTGGTAGCCTGGTTCAGCCCCATGGCCCTCTGGTGTCAGGGCCCCCTGGAGACTGTGAAGTACCGTCTGGATAAGGACGGAATCCCATGGCACAGACAGAACCCTCTGGAGCCCGGAGCCAAGGCCAAGTTCCACAATCCATCCATGGGATTTCACGCTGCAGGGCAATACCGCTGCCACTATGAGACCCCTGCAGGCTGGTCAGAGCCCAGTGACCCCGTGGAGCTGGTGGTGACAGGTGAGGGGACACTCAGGGGCCCCAGCCCCAGGCTCTGCCCTCAGGAAGGAGGTCGGCTCTCAGAGGTGTCGCCCTTCTCACAGCCCAGTCTTGGGGATACGGTGGGAGGTGTGACCCCATTAAACACGTTGCCTCCTTCTTCCCTAGGATTGTATGCAGAACCCACCGTCTCAGCCCTGCCCAGCCCTGTGGTGGCCTCAGGAGGGAACACGACCCTCCAGTGTGACACACGGAACGGATTTCTCATGTTTGTTCTTGTTGAGGAAGGAAAACAGAAGCTCCCCAAAGGGCTGTCCTAGGCCCCTGTGGGCCCTGTGACCCCCAGCCACAGGTGGAGGTTCAGATGCTATTACCGTTTCTGGAAAAAACCTCATGTGTGGTCGAACCCCAGTGATCTCCTGGAGATTCTGGTCCCAGGTGAAAAAGCCAGCACGCTTCTTTATACAATTGAGAGGAGCGAGATAGGCTGTGGGAGTCTGGTTGATGACTGATCATGGCCAGGACCCCAGAAGGATGTGTTGAGGGCTGGGCTGACGGTGTGAGGAGGACCCCATGCGGAGGCTCTGATAGGGAAAGAGGAGCCTCAGTCACCACACCTGGACGGGGTCAACTCAAGAAGGCACTGGGTGTATTTGCTGCAATTTCCTGTCCCTTGATGAGATGAGGACAGACCAGAAAGAGTGGCTGAGAGTCAGGGAGACCTTGGTCTGGAACCTCTCCAGGACAGCCCGGGTAAGGAGGAGCCCCTGGGATCTGAGACACAGGGTGTGAGAGACACTGAGACCTACAGGGCCAGGATGGGAGAAGGAAGGGGTGTGGGAGGAACAGCCGTCCAAGCCCCTGCTCCTCTTTCCCTCCAGGCGTGTCTAGGAGGCCCTCCCTCCTGACCCCACAGGGCCCTATCGTGGCCCATGGAGGCAGCCTGACCCTGCAGTGTCGCTCTGATGTTGACTATGACAGATTTGCTCTGTACAAGGACCAGGAAGTTCACCTCCTCCAGGGCTCTGGCCAGAAGTTCCAGGTTGGGCTCTCCCAGGCCAACTTCACCCTCAGCCCTGTGAGCTGCTCCCACAGGGGCCAGTACAGATGCTCCGGTGCCCACAACCTCTCCTCCGAGTGGTTGGCCCCCAGTGACCCCCTGGACATCCTGATTGCAGGTGAGGAGCCCAGCGGGTTCAGTCAGGGACCCAGGTTCCCCACAGGCACTGCCAGGAGAGCCCAGGTGGTGATGGCTGGGATGAGGGGTGGGCGTCCCCAGGGAGGAGGAGACTCAGAGAAAACAGAGACAGACTGAGGGTCCCAGAGAGAGGCCTGGGGAGGTCTCAGCTCAGAACAAGCCAGGGCAGCCCCTCACCCATCCTCTTCTCTCCAGGACAGATCCCTGAGAGACCCTCCCTCTCAGTGCAGCCGGGCCCCAGGGTGGCCTCAGGAGAGAAGGTGACCCTGCCGTGTCAGTCATGGCACCATGTGGACACTCTTTTTGACCAAGGAGGGGGCAGCCCATCCCACCCGGCGTCTAAAGTCAAAGTACCAATCTTATAGGAACCAGGCTGAATTCCCCATGAGTCCTGTGGCTTCAGCCCAGCATAGAACCTACCGATGCTACAGCAGAATCAGCTCCTACCCCTGCCTGCTGTCAGACCCTAGTTACCCCCTGCAGCTTGTGGTCTCAGGTAAGAGCCCTGACCCTGTCCTCTCTGAGCTCAAAGGCTCAGCTCAGGACCTGTCCCCAGGAGAGCTCTGCGCTGGGATGGAGGGAGGGGGGTGTTAGGAGGCTCAGCCAGAGCGGGACTCACCCCTCAGAGGGGAGGAGGACAGTGGGCCACCTCCCAGGCAGGCCCACTCTTGGCCTCGTCTCCTGGGACACAAATGGTGAAAGATGAGCAGAGGAGAGTTTCCAGAGAAGCAACAGGCAAGTCGAGCGAGGGGCTTCAGTGGACATGGGGACTCTGGGGCACCAAAGCTCCTCCCTCCCTTTCTGTGCTTACTCCCAGGAGCCTCTGGGAGCCCCAGCCCCCCACCCACTGGTCCCACCCCTACACCTGGTGCGTGACTAAGGCCTCTTGGCTGGGAGGGAGCATGGCCTCCCCCAGGGCAGTCTCCCAGAGGATCCTGTTCCCCTCAAGGACTCAGCACAGGCTTCCTCCAGAGAGCTGGGCAGAGACAGAGGGGGCACAGGCTCCCAGGGGCTGTGAGGCTGGGCCAGTGAGGGGTGGGGGGTCAAGGCAGTGGGAGATGCTGGGGCCCAGCCTCGGGAAGGAGGAGCTGGTGTGATGTGGGGAGCAGGACAGCCCCAGCCCTCAGCTCCCCATCGTGACCCAGCAGAAATGAAGAGAAGGTGCTGCTATTTGGAGAAACAAGGAAGTCAGAGGTGGGAAGTTTGGGAGAAACAAACTACCCTTCTTAGGTACTGGGAGGTTCTGCTTCTCTCTCTGACTCAGTTAACTGCCTTAAACACACCTCCTTCAGCCTCCTTTCCACATGGGGTCATTGCTCCATGGGGTCACGATGCTGTTGGTTCCTCTTGTCAACCAAGTCACAGAGTGGAAGAGCCTTCATTTCCTCAGCATCCTCCTCTTTGCACACGATGAACAATCCACACTGTTCTACCTCAGAGCCTTCTTATCAATGTCCCCTGTCCGATGCTACAGTCCAAGCTCAGCTGGTTTTCTCAGCTCAGCACTTCTTGGTTTGTGGCAGCATAACTCCAAACTCCGCCTCTATCTCTGGGCTGGTTTTCCATTAGTACTGCAGAAGTGCCCGTTCTGTGCAATGAGACACAGTGACACAGCAGACACCCCCTCCATCCCAGCCCCTGGAGGGTCTGAATGGAGATCAGGACTCTGCAGAGTTGCCCAGGAACATGGTTTCACACATGCTCCTGCAGGAAATCCATAACCACGATCACCAAGTGGGCATTTCCAGCATCTCAGGGTGTAGGGGTTGCTGGCTAGTCCCTGCAGTGACACATCCTTTGGCAACTCTATTGTGACCCTATGAAGAACCTATGGAGGTCCTATGAAGGAAGATTTTATAGATGCTATGGAGGCCCTATGGAGATCCTATGAAGGTCCTATAGAAGTCCTGTGAAGGCCCTTTGGAGAACCTATGGAGGTCCTATGGGGTTCCTATAGCAGTCCTATGGAGAGTCTATTGAGATTCTATGAAGGTCCTGTGAAGGCCCTATGGAAAACCAATGGAAGTCCTGTGGAGGTCCTA